TGTTTGGTGTCACAGCACTCTTCTCTGCAGTAAACACGTTTGTGGGAAAGAAAGTTTGCCAAGCTTCTAAAAAGGTTCCGACACACCTTGCATTCATATATCAGATCACATTCATATGCCAGCAATTGACGAACCTGAAATACAAACAAGTATATCATGGAATGTCATTCAAATAATTATTAATGCCACACAAAAATTGCCCTACAAAAACAATATGCAACAATAACACTGATAATCACGTATTTGTAAATATGTTATAAAGGCCTTATTACTAGGCCACACTCAATAAATCATCTTCCATTAGAATGCTTAATAGGTGATACTGGGTCTATAATTTATGAGGCTGCGGTCGTGCTTGCATTGCCTGATCGGCCGGCACCCCGTTGATGCGGGCGAGAGTCGTGCTCGTTCTTCCGGTGGGTGACCGGCGAATCAGTTTCAGTGCCGCTAGTAACAGCGACCTACGAATATTTCTCGTCACTAATACATGTTATTACATTAATTGTTCTTACCTTAAATCACAAAAGATGTTCAGAGTGACTTCCTTATGCTTGCAGGCAACTTCACATCTCGTTAACATGTTTCGAAATACTCGACGAAGCTCTTCTTGGGAAATTGTCGAATATTTTCTTTAAGTGCTTCTGCAGTGTGTGGATTGTTTACATAAACTTTGTTCTTCAGCATGCCCCACAGGTAAAAATCGCACGGGTTTAAGTCCGGGGAACGCGGAGGCCACCGATCGATAACTTGTTCACCAAACACTTCTCTTAATGCTAACATCGACCTATCAGCTGTGTGAGCTGTAGCATTGTCTTGCATGAAGAAACCGTAAGTCTTTTCTTCATCGGCCATTTCTTGGAAAAAGGGTCTAAGTATTAAATTTACATAACATTTACAATTTATCCACACACTGCAGAAGCACTTAAAGAAAATATTCGACAACTGATTTCGGCAATTTCCCAAGAAGAGCTTCGTCGAGTATTTCGAAACATGTTAACGAGATGTGAAGTTGCCTGCAAGCACAAGGAAGTCACTCTGAACATCTTTTGTGATTTACGGTAAGAACAATTAATATAATAACATGTATTAGTGACGAGAAATATTCGTAGTTCGCTGTTACTAGCGGCACTGAAACTGATTCGCCGGTCACCCACCGGAAGAACGGGCACCACTTCCGCCCGCATCAACGGGGCGCGGCCGACCATGCAATGCAAGCACGACCGCAGCCTCATAAATTCTCTGATTTCTTACTGCTGAATTTCCTATTATCAGTGGCTGGCTATGTTCTGTATGCAAGCAGAAATGTTTATTAGCACAGATTATGTGCCCCTATAAATTTAATATTAGTCAACGTTCTTTAAATTTCTACTTCAGCAGATATTTTATCATGACACAATGTTCTTAAGCCACGTTTCATAAGAGATCTTCAGGCACTTGTGGTAAACCTGTTGAATAAAATTTGAGATACAACTTAAGACAGAAATTCAACATTAAGCCATGTCATAGATCGCCAGAATATAGTAAGTTTATGACATATGACATATATATTTTTTAATAATCAATAAAATAACACTAACAAATTGTGGAATACAATACTCCATTTTACTGGTTATCCACTTCAATACAGGCTTAATAACTCTACATTACCACAGTTATATACCAACCACGGTGAATAAGATAATTTTGCTATGCGACCTCTGTTTATCAGCCACAAAACTCAGCACCCTCACAGGGTGGAAAACCAATGGCTTTCATTAAAAAATGTAATTGTATTTTCCCAACTTTATCCATATATACTACATTTCACGAGGAAGATAATATGTTAAACTGGAGCCACAGAAATAATCAGAGAGATAAAGATTTTTAAGTATCTGAAGATCCTGATATTGTGTATAAACATTCTCATCAAACCCAGATACTTAAAATGTTAAGAGTTCCTTGGATAACTGACTCTTGGAATAAATATTTCAAGCTCCTACAAAGTTTTATTCTGTGCACACACTGAAAACCTTTCTGTGGTTGATATCACACTTCATTACAACCCACAGCCCATTTCAATGTAGCCACCTCTTCTTTTTGCCACTAACCACAGCAAACACGTTCTATGTGATTTAAAATGGGAGTGGCAACTAAAATTAACTGAGAATATAAATTGAAATGATTTATAAAAACGGAATGTGTCTGAGTCAAAATTGTGTAACCTCTTTTGTTTAATGTATTTACACTAACTATCTTATTAACTAAAGCTGATACTGACACATTTAACCTAAAAATACAAAGATATTTTTCATCCAGCTTATGAAGTAGTAATACAAGAATAATACAGAGATATGAAAGTGCCTGAAAAGATTCAAAGTGATAATTTCAGCATTTCAAAGTACCAGGTAACCAAAATCTAAATTTCCAATGCATTACTACACAGATAATTTAAGAACTGAAGATTTCCTGGCAAGTCAGTTTTCTGATTAATCTTACAACAGTGACAATTTGCTTCAACATCTCTGCATTAAGTGTGAAAAATAATATGAAGTAAAGTCTGAAAATGCTGGTGTTCCATATGAATGCAAGTTTGCAAAATATTATAATACTGGTATTACTGATAGATTAAAACATAAAACATTTTTCTCTTTCAATTTATCATCCTTATAAATTCAACAAACTTAAAATCAGATTACTGTTTTTTACATATTAATCTGCTAAAGGAAAACAGTACATGCAGATAATAAACCTTCATATTTGTTTTACTTCATTGTTACCGGTTATTGAAAATTATGTATAAATTATATACATACCTCTGTTGTGCCAGCCTGGTACACTTTTACAACTTGGCCAACACCTGACACACTGATATCAATTGGTTTTCTTAATACTGATAAGTCAGTATGGGGATCTCCATTTGGTTCTTTGTCCACATTTGTCTCTTGAGATTGTAATTTCCCACTGTTACCTCTAGCCAGATTTTGCTTGCTTCCTTTGGTACTCTTGGAATTCGACTTTGAACCCATTGTATCTACGACAGAAATATTTAAGGTAAGACACATGCTTAATGAAAAAATTAATGACAATATGCAGACTAATCCCTTGTAAGTATCAATGTTCAATAAAACATGGACAGAATCTTGTAAGATTATAACCAACTTATTTTAATAAAAGTTGTCTTGGACTATTTTGTAATACAAAAATATGTACATACATTTGTAATGTTTTCTCAGCAAACTTTATTTATTCAGCGAACAGAATGCTCTAATATAGCATTCAATAAGAATAAAACAGTGTAATTATTGTTAATCCTTGATGCTTCCATGATTCATATTCATTGATTCCAGCATATTACATGAACTGAAACATAGTACACAACATATTAAATTTTTAAACACATATAGAACATATCACATTACATATTGTACTTAACAATACATACACCCACTAATTCCAAGCCACTCGCACTGGGAATACTGCCTTGTACACACAACGCTATCTTATTTGTAGGCTACCTGGTGCTGAGCCATCTGGACTGGTCTGCTTCATTTTAAATCACACTGCTATAATTCTGCTATAAAAATGAAACAATGTAAAACAAAAATTAACCCGATATACATAAGCGTAATGCATATTAGTCTAATTATACGACATTTACAAATCCATTTTTTGGTAAATTATGCGAATGTGTCCCCCGTAACAGAAGGTCACCTCCCAACGAAGATGATCTCTCCTCGCTTTTTTACGTATTTACCATCTAATTTATTTGTGAATTTCACTATATTACGTAACTACATTAACTTAAGTACCCTTATAATATGGTAAATATGTGCTCCGTCCAATATTTTTTGCAGATATAAGAATATACTCTGGTGGTTCCCTCCTTTGTCACTGAACAAACTCCACCATTTTTGCTGAAGAAAGCGATTCCTGCTCTCTCAATCCCCAATTTTCTCACATCTCCTGAAGATAGCGTGCATGTTGGTTTGTGTAAGTGGATGGTGGACTGAGATTCTTGAGAAAACTGTTTTCTGTTTAATAATAGCTAATACAAACACATGTAAAACAGCATATTTATATTAACGGAGCTTCAGGTTTTATAATTTATTTGTTGAGATATTGTTCGAATGATCGATAGGAGTTTATAAAGCCTGTAATGTATTGCCAACACATTTTTAAAGTATTTAAGGTATGAAAATTATTTGCTTATTTTACTAGTGATATTTTCACAGAAACCAACAACAAATTCCAAAAATAACTGCACATCCACTGTCATTACTACCAAATCGTAGTTCGAAACCAAATTACTGATGATATGCATAAACTTGTATTTTCCATTTTGTCCAAGCCGGAAGCAGTGGAATTATTTATTAAACTTCTTATTCGATCATTTTGTCGCATAATTGTAACAAAATAATGAAAGAAGCAGACAAAGCTTATAAGCATAAAATAATTACCAAAAATAGGCAAACATACTCTTAGTTAACCTAAGTGAAAGAAAGTTTGCTTTATAATTGTTTGTACCTGGCTTTTCTTGCTGTAATTCTGTTCAACGGAAGTTTACAGGATACGGAATCGGTTTGAATGACGATTTTATACGAACCAATGTTGTATTTTAGTTTTTCTATTGTTTTGGGCTTGTTGTGAAGATTGTTCAGTGTCTCGCCATCTCAAACACACAGGAAATAATTCACACACACACAGTCCCTTATGAAAATAAGATGTGGAACGATCACCACTTTATGTGAACCTTTCGTTTGGAAGAGAATAGAATTATTTACATTCCATAGATCCTTCATAGGCCTAAGCCACGAATGTAGAACATGTCATACTAGGAATACAATACTTGTTTCTAATACAAATATAAGTTACTTAGTTATGACAGTAATTTACAGTCATCTACAATATACTACAAGAAAGCAGTTTCTGTTTTCTTGAGTGATGTAAGTCCTCATAGCAAAGCATGCTAAGCATAGTTTAGGGATAATGTGTTGAATATGTTTTCTAATTTAAGTTATTGCCAGTTTGTAGGCCAATAAATTTAATTATTTCTATTTCGTCAGTTGTTTTGTCCTCATACCATATACTTAAATTAACACAGTTTTTTTTGGAAGTTCGAAATTTCATAAAATTTGTTTTGTAAAAATTCAGTTGGAGTTTACTGGCTTTTCTCAGTTCAAGCTAGCAAAGACATTCATGCAAATGTGGAAACAGTCAATTTTGAGGTAATATATTTCAGTAATATAATTTGTACTCTTTATAGGTTTTAATAGGAACATGAGTTATTTCTGTGCAATATATGCTTTTTGATCTCAGCATGTTTCTGTTATGTTCAGTTCTTTTAGCCAGTTTTATTATTTTATAAGTAAGGTTAGGCAAATCATGTCATCATTCTAATGTGTTTATGTGTGTTTGCTCTTCATATCTTTTAAACCAAATGACAGTTTTTTTGTGGATCGTTTAATGAAATTGTCTCATTCCAAATTCTCCCATACCAACCAAATGGATTAAGATCTCTGGACAGACCCTACTGTCACAGGCCACTTTGCCGAAGATGTTAAAAGCTGCTCCTGTTACTGATGATTAATAAGTGTCAGGTCACTTTTTTCCATAATTTTTTAGTAGTCAATATAGAATTGGGTGACAGCTGTTCAAACTCCTGACTTAGGGTTGACATTAAATCATGAAAAAACAATGTACGTACAGATAATTTCTGTTAAGTTATGAAATTATTCCGTGGTGTCAGCACAGAAATCTCTGTTTTTGTGTTGATAGTGATGACTTGTAAAGTTTGGTTTTCATGTATTGTGATTATGTAAAACATATTAATTTGGTATGAAACATTTATTGTTTAGGAAAGCAGATTTCAACTGCTAATGATTTATTTTTGTATGAAAATTTTAGAGTTGAGAGAAGGAACAGGGTTCCAAGAGTTTTGTGCTCTTTCTTCAGATCCGTGTTACTGAGCTATGAAGGTCTTTATCATCTGATTAGTTACAGAGGTATACCTTTTGGCAAGTTTTCATGACATGAACGTTGTACAACATGAGGCCACTGTCACTGTAGCGTTATGAAATGTTAGTTGTGGATTTTCTGTAAATTGTGCACATTTTGTATAGATACTTTTTATGTAAAATAACATGACTTCCACATAAAATATTTATTTTACAGTCTGCTTAATTCAAATAATAAACTACTGGTTTTATGATAGGTAATGAATATTCCCATTTACTGAACGTTACAGAACCCTGGCATTGTAAATAGCAAATTTTTTTCAATACTTAATTTGGTTACGTTTATTTCAGTATATGTGGAAGTGATGCAGTTTATTTGGGGTGGCATTCTTCTGTTATAAAAGACATTACAATGCCACTTTTAAATTGTGCTTGCTTTATGTTTTTTGGAATGTTGGGGTTACAAATGGTATTTCCTTTCTAATTAAATTCAGTTATAATGAGATGGTCACATGTTAAAGAGGCCAAAATATATATTAACATGTGTTGTGAATCATGGAGAGTTTAGTTTTTGTTTACTAATTTCTGTGTAACTCATCCTCCTCCTGCCAGAAGAATTACATTCTCTGTGTAACCTTGACGGGATTGTTCGTTGCAGTTTTCACGATGTGCTCAAACGAGGATATGTACAAAGTCTTGTTTGTGGTCTCTCGTTGCAAGCAATCAATTCTTCCAACATCATTGCCTTCATATACATGCCATTAGGATGAAGAGTTCTGTTATTGCACCTGCGGAACCAGAAGTGGGGTATTTAAAACGGGTCATAAAACGTGTTGGATGGCTGGATTATTCTAGATCAGTAAGAAATGCTTTCAGTTTTGTGTCATGAATTTGTAATATCTTGTTTGGAGTATATATTTAGTGTGTCTTAAGACAGTTTTTTTTTACAAATTGATACTTATTACATAATGGAAATTTACCCAGTATAATTCATTTATTACTTTAAGGTGTTGCGCGATAAATTTTTTTTGAAAATGACATGGTGCATATGTGCTTTGTATATGACATTTCTGTTACAAAACATCTGCAATTTAACACCAGGTTGTATTTCTTGTGAATGTGGTTTTTCATGTAGGAGTTTTCAGTTTATTAATAAAATTTATTCCAGCAGAATTGAAACTTTACATAATTGAAGATCTTAAAGTCAAAGAAGTGTGTTGATATGCCCTGTCTCATATATTTGCTTAGGATTTTAAAAAAAAAATTGTCAACTTTTTGTGTCTGATAAGTGAGAAATATGAAATGTCAGTTTCCTTTCTTGGTTAATTTTATAATTGCTGCATTTTGAACTTTTCACTTATTTCACTCATTTGTAAATATACACACTGTAAATCTTTAAATTTGTACAAGAATAAAATTTCCTGTCTAATGTCAGACTTATGAACAATAGTATATTTTTTTAAGTTTAAAGTATTGTTGACATAATGTTTTTAAACAGTGTTCTAATCTAGTCGCCCTCGGTGGACTAGTGGTTAGCGTGCTCGCAACTGGACCCAAGGTTTCTGGGTTCAAACCCGGCCAAGGTTTAAGGGTGATAAAAATCTGTAGCACGACTTCCTTCGAAGGGGAAGTAAAGCCGGCGGTCCCATGTCGTAGATTTACGGCATGTAAAAGAACCTTACGAGCATGAACGAGATGTTTCGTAAGCAGAATTCTGCGGTCATTTCTCACCCAAGTCTCTCCTGATTCTCTACTAGATGGCTCTAGCAGACAAATCAGGATTTAGTAGAAATTGAGCCGAGACAGTGGGCTTGTCACTCGCTAATCATAAATGCACACTTCAAACACTAGGGAAACCTTCAAAAAGGAGGCGGTGACGACCCACAACTGGGTTGTAGAGCCAAGAAAGAAGAAAGCATGACTTCCCCTGAACAAAAGTGAAGTATTAACTTTAAATGATGGGGCATCCTGCATATTCTTAGAATATCCTGGCAATACTATCCTTGATATATAGAAAGGACTGAAATTAGGCAGTTTTGGAGTGGGTTTGTTGTTACAATGCTAATCAGTTTGTTCTGGATAACGTGCTGTGGTCATCTTTGTTACAGAAACTGAAAAGATCTGCATATATTTTGTATGAAAATGCAGCAGATAGGATTCAATACTCAAAGTTCTTTAAAGGTGGGTTTGCAGCAGTTGTGCGAGCGATGCGATTTCTTATACTGCTTACAGGTTAAATATCCAGGTGTGCACTGAGCATCGTGGTATAGTGGTTAGTACTTTGACTTTTATTTGGGAGGACATCAGTTATTATTGTAAATTTTATTTATTTTCCTCAGCCCCTCCAGCAAAGTGCTTAATATCTTAAGAAGGCAACAAGTAATTTCACATCTCTTCAAATTCTTTAATCATAATCATCCTCTAGTGCAGTGATAAATACGTATGGAGTCGGTGAAGTGTCATTATATAACCCAAGCAACAAACTTTGCATGAAGCTGCTTTTTTTTTCTTTTCTTTTTTTTACTTTATATATTTTGGGGTAATTTAAAAGTGCAGTCAGTAGCAAGTTAACTTGTAAATAGAAATATTAATTAATAATTAATTGAAATGGATATGGAAGGAATTGTGCATGGCGTATGTTCATGTATGATACTGGATTCCTATGGATACACTGAGGAAGACCACGAAAAACCTGCAGGATAGCCATTATCCGACCCAAGATTTGAACTTGTAACGTCCTGAATATGAAGAAATAATGCTGTTCGATCGTAATATTCATTCTTCAATATTAGATAAACTCTTTATTTATTTTAAAGTATTTGTGTTTGTGTTGTGGATTAAGTAATTGATAGTAGATGCCTTATGGCAGAGTCTTTACAATTATTATACAATTTACCGTCATCATAAAAAATACTAATATAAGCCATTTTTTGTGTCTAGAATTCCATATGCCAGATACATTTTATTCGTGGTTCCTGGTTACCGAGCTTCATGTATGGATGTTAATGGTACGAACGATGGCCGAAGGCGAGGAAGGACGTTTTGTTCGTAACAACATAATTGAAGCTATGTGGGAAGATGTTAGTACACGTGTAAAGAAACTTGAGGTATGCACTGAAGATAGTTCCTACTAAGTTACGTGCTTCCGTGACTCCGTCACTAATGGCCAGCAACAGCCTAACTTTGCTTGAGAGCTGCTACCAGTTAATCCCAGTCTGTAATAAATACATGAGAATTATAATGCAGCTTCACTACTTTGTAAGAAATGCTGTCTCTCTTCTTTATGAGTGATTTATTAAACGTTTGACTTGCGTGTCTGAAGTTTAATCAGTTTCATTGCTCTCATGCAAGACATCTTAGTACCAGCTATCCACATTTTCTTCAGTAAGCACATGACATTTTTAACATATTTTTTGTCCAAAAATAAACCAAATCAACTTTGTTAATATTAAAAATTAAATCCGTGGCGTAACAGCTCCAGAGAGCCAAAGCCGACTAACTTGACTGCTGGCCTCACGTTCACATGCCTAAGCAGAGGTGAACGATCATCCAACCGGATATAGGGTGACATACGGTCAGCACAACGAACCCCCAGCCATTGCTAGTTTTCATGACCGGATTACGCTACTCATTGTAGCTCCCCAATTTCCTCACGATGCTGGGTTGGCACCGGTCCCATACACTGGTCGAAAGCTCATGAGAAAATTTCTTCTCCCCCCCGAGACTCGAACCAGCGTGCATTCCGTATCGCCGGTCCAAAGCACGATGCCTCAGACCACGCGGTTACGGCGCAGGACTGCTTTGTTAATATTCTTTTGAATTATTTGTGCTTAGAATTGTGATCTCGGGAAGTTTGGTGAAATTTTCTTTGACACGTTATAGCAGAACCACACTTTGTTCAATAGTATATCAAATTGTGCCCACTAGAGGTGTTTGGTCTTCATAATTTAATTCTAATCCAATCTGAAGTCCAAGGTTTGCGTATCTCGCAAGCAATACCATGTCACCGTTACCGTCATCTGTTTTGGAAACTGCATCAAATGTCATATGAACTGTCATTATACTAACTTGAGAATGTCTTATCGGATTTTAATGAAATTTGGTATAGCTACTCTTGCTGCCACATATCAATGGTGGCATATGAACAGTTTGTTACCACGTCAATAGGAAGACTGATGACATTGCTTATACTGCCATCTGAATTATCACTTCTAAAATTTAAGACAATAAATATGCAAGTATATGAAAAGAGTAGTGATCGCAAATTGAAGGTGTCTTATTATTAATTACTATTTTTATAAGCATTTAGGGAGATAACATTAAGCAGTGGTTTAAAGAAGACCTTTGGTTCTTTTGTGTACTCCAAAATGTACACCAGCCAGTCTTGATTTTGACGTAGGATCGCAGTTGAATTTCCAGACATTTTGGACATGCAGCTTGATGTACAAAAAATCACACCTCCGTAAGACCGATAGTAAAATGAATGTATTATACTGTGCCAGAAACTAAGATCTTTTGTACTGTCCTTAAAGTATACTTTTGTCATATATTTGTGTTTTTAGATGTGGCCTTATGTGAAAATTATTAAGTGTTTTATGTGTGTATGTTCCTGTAGCCTACAAATTCTTCCGAAATTAAAGCACAGTTACAAGAACTGTCAGAGCAGTTCCAGGCAGCAATTATAGGATACGACGAAGGATTGCTGAGTGACGACAAGATACTTGCTGGGGTTGTATGGAGAATATTTCTTCAGCAACACTGCAGTGATCCTGAAAATGTTGAATGTCTTGTGCATTATATCCGTAAGCAGGTAAGAGAAGCAATGCACCAAACTTCTCTCATTTTAGTTTTAGTAGCTGATTTATATTGTTGATCAAGGCCTTCCGAGGGATTCACTT